AGGGATGAACTGCAACTGAGGTAAGTGCCCTTGGCTGGGATCGAACCTGTGACTCATTGGTCCACGGGCCAACACTCTAACCACTGAGCAAAACCGGCCTAAGCATTAGCTTCTTGAGTATTTGGAATACAACTATGACTTTTAATATCCTTGTGTACTAATTCTATTCTTATGTCATTTCTACATCAGTTTCAATGGACTGATTTCTGTCCTCATTATGGTCATCTTTTTCTGCTTCTTTGCATTCCCGTTAATTTTTTATTGTATATTATCTTTTTGGTTACTGGATGTTTTTTGTATTTCTATAAATGTTCTTGAGCTTTATTCTGGGGTGCAGTTAAATTCTTTGGAAACAATTTGAGCCTTTAGGGCTTTTTTTTTTTTTAAAGCTTTGTTAGTTGGGTAAGAACAGCATTTATTGTAGGGCTAATTTTGTCTCACTGTTGCTGGTGGGAACAGGAACTGTTCTTTGTGCAGTGATGCCTTTGAATGGTTCTTTCCCACCCTCAGACAGTTTCCTCACATGCATGTGCTCTGGCTCTACGGAACCCTGAACAGATCTCCAGGACTTGCTCTCTGTGCTGCTCCCTCCTATTCAGTACTGGGTCCTGCAAATTCTAGCTGCCCTGGCCCTCCTCTCTCCCTACCCACTCTTCAACATGGGGAGACTGCTGGGCTCTGCCCAAGTACCCAACCTCTACACTGCAGCCTGGAAACCCCAGACAAGAAGCTGGGGCAATCGTGGGCTCAACTCATTTGTACAGATCTCCTAGGAGCCACTGTCCTTCGTCAGCTGAAGTCCAGTGTTTTGAAAAACCACTGCTTTATACATTTTGTCTGGACATTTAATTGTTATTAGTAGGTGAATTAGACCCTGTAACTCCATCTTGAATTCATAACTCAGTTCTGTGGTATGTAGGAGTCCATTAAATTAAAAGCCAGTAACCAACTAAATACTGGATATCTCTTATGTTTGTAGATAGGGGCCCAAGATTCATTTTCATGAAAGGATTACTTGTTTAGTTAGGGGTTTTGGCTCTGAACAGGCTCTTCTTAGTACTTTTTTTTTTTTTTATCCTCACTCGAGGACATTTTTCCATTTTTTGTTCAGGTAGAGTGGGAGGGAGAGAGAGGAACAGAGAGAGAGAGAAACATCGATGTGAAAGGAACACATCGAGTGGCTGCCACCCGCACAACCGACCAGGGCCGGGGACAAACTGCAACCGAGGTACGCGCCCTTAGCGGGAACCGAACCCGGGTCTCTCAGGACCGCAGGCGGACGCTCTAACCGCTGAGCCAAACCGGCCAGGGCACTTCTTAGTACTTTTAAAAAGCAAAATTCAACCAAGTAAATTTGGAGATCTAATTGGCTTTTTTAAGCGATTCATGAACTGAGCAGCGTCCAGTCTAACAACTACAAGGACACTCCAGGGGGTTGTACAAAATGGAAGGTTTTTATAGGAAGAAGGGTGAGGCAAGGGAGCTATTAACAAAAAAAAAAGGGTTATTTTTAGACCAGGACATCTTTGGTGGGGGAGGCGGGGGCAAGGGTTTTATCATGGAGATTGTCTCTTGCCTCTTCTTTCTATGGAGAGGACCCACAGGACAGAATACTGTACTATAGCGCTTGACCAGAAAATTCCAGACTGGTTGACTAAGATTATGTTTGTGGGAGAGGTTTAAACTGCAATTACATCAGGTATTAAATCTAGGTTTGGTATCATTTAGCACACCATTTTGGATCTGTGGTTTTTTTTCTCTTTAACAGCATCAAACTACTTATTTGTGAAGCAGCCCCCTCTTGCTGACTGTGCTTTCTGATCCCTCTGGGTTTCTTTTGTTAAAGGAGCCAGTGACCTAGGTACACTGAGACACTTATAAATTGAAGGGGAAAAAACTGAGAAGATTACCAGATTAAGGGCAGGCTACAAATAAAGGATAATTGGGACAGTGCCCAATTTTAAAACAAAGGAAACAACCTGTGGCTCAGTGGATTGAGCATCGCCCATGGTCCGAGAGGGCCCAGGCACTTGCCCGGGTTGTGGGTTTGATCCACAGTGGGGTGTGTGCAGGATGTTTCTCTCTCACATTGATGTTTCTGTCGCTCTCTCTCCCTTCCTCTCTATCTTAAAAATCAACAAAAACATTTAAATCTTAAAGGAAAAATATCCTCGGGTGAGGATTAAAAAGACAGAAAAAAATTTTTTTAAATAAAAACAAAGGAAACAAAAAAAAAAACTAATTAGTTGTATGAACTCAAAATCATTTTCTAAATAATGATAATAAAATAGCTAATAGTTATGAAAGAACATCCAGACCTGTAGAAAAGTTTTATGAGTTTGAGGGGAAAAAAATTTTTTTTTTTTTTTTTAAGAGAGAGTGGAAGGGAGGGAGGGAGAGAGAGAGAGACAAAGAAACATTGATGTGAGAGAGACACACCAATTTTGTCTCCAGTATGGCCCCACTAGGGAATTAACCCACAACAGAGGTATGTGCTCTTGATCAGGAATTGAACCTGAGACTCTTTGGACCTCAGAAAGACTCTCTATAACCGCTGAGACAAACCAGCCAGGACTATTTGAGCCAAATTTTTGAGGACATGCCTGGAAGCAAGATCTCAACGGATTGACAAAATGCTCCGGAGCATTGCAGTTTTGCAGCTTATTTTATACGCTAGACTCAAAGGTGAAAACCTAAAGAGGGTGACATGAAAACATTAGGAATAGAGTAAGGAGGCAGGGGAAGACAAAGCAGGGAAATCTCTAGGACTGGATAAAAAGCAAAATGGAGAAACACTTCTTTTACATTGGCGGATTCAGGATAGTTAATAATTAACGTTTACAGCACATAGAGATGGTATGCAGGTAACAAGATAACAATGAGGGGTTCTGTGGTTTTGTGCTCTAGTGCCGACATTGTGCCTCCAAAGGTCTGGAAAAGAAAATTACTCTTTCAAAGGTATGTTGTCCTAGATGCATAAGAACAATGGACAGAGCTCACTTAAGCTCAAGATTGATCTTTGCTAAATCCTGGGATATGCCTGCTATGGCATGCCCAGTTAGGAATTTTCATATTCAGACCATTGGTGTGGTTACTTTTGGTCACTGATATTGTCAGGTTTATTACATAGCCCCATGTTTGTTCAGTTATTGACTGCTCTACATACTGTTCTGAGACCTTTACATGTTATCTACTTTAGTCTCTAAACAACTGTGTGAAGTTAACAATATGGTTCTGTTACTATTCCCATTTTGCATATAAGGATATTGAAGCACAGAGAGGTAAAAGTAACTTGACCAAGGTCATACAGCTAGTAAGTCATGGCCAGGACTTCAGCCTGGGGTCTGGCTCCAAAGACTATACATTTAATCGACATATGAAACTACTTCTAGATAAGGTCATTCCTAGCAGGCCATCTTGCTGTCTCTTCTTTTTTTTTTTTTTTTAATCCTCACACGACATTTTTTTTCCATTTTTTGTTCAGATAGAGTGGGAGGGAGAGAGAGAGAGAGAGAAACATCGATGTGAAAGGGACACATCGAGTGGCTGCCACCCGCACAACCCAACCAGAGCTGGGGACAAACTGCAACCGAGGTATGTGCCCTTAACGGGAACCGAATCCGGGTCTCTCTGGACCGCAGGCCGATGCTCTAACCGCTGAGCCAAACCGGCCAGGACTTGCTGTCTCTTCTTGTGTTTTCTCTTTAAATAATTGTTGTATGTATGTATGCATGCATGCATGCATGCCTGGTCATACATGCTCTTGATGTTTTCAAATCATTCTATAAGAGTGTTCAACTTAAAAATAAAAGGCAAGCCCGGCCAGTGTGGCTCAGTGAATTGAGCTTTATCCCATGGACTGAGAGGTCCCAGTTCAATTCCCAGCAGAGCACATGCTGGGGTTGTGGGCTCCATCCCCAGTAGGGGGCGTGCAGAAGGCAGCCCATCCATGTTTCTCTCACATCTATGTTTCTATCTCTCTCTCTCTTCCTCTCTCTAAAAAGTCAATAAAAATATATTTTAAAAATAAATAAAAATAAAAGGCCAAAGTGAGAGTCAACGTGTTTATTTGAGATTCAAAAGAACAGCTCTTTAGGAAGCATTAATTCAGGCAGAAACCCAAATAGTGATCGGATTAGGAGGTAAAAGCAAAGGGTATTTATGAAAAAGGGAAGGAGTACAATTATATGAATAGAAGGAAGGAATTTCTATGGGTTTTAATAAGCCAAGGAAGGAACAGAATTCTATACCTGCAGATAAGCTTACATGCTAATTCTAAAGATGTTTTTAATTTTCAATCTGGTAGTCATGACAAGCGGTTGTTTGGAATACAGTGTTGCTTTAGGCCCAATCCAAAGGTTAATTTGCCCAATCTTAACATTCCAAAGGTTTGAGGAGTAAGACCTCCAAGGCATTTCCTCAGGGTGGCAGCTCTGCCTCCATTTTGTAGTGGCTCCATTTACATTATTTTGTGCAAAGTAGGTATAGAGCTGCGTTATTCTTTTGAACAGCTGCATAGGGTTCCATTGTATGGATGTGCCATAATTTATGTACCCACTCCCTTTTAGAGGACTTTAAGTTGTTTCCAAACTTGTGCTATTATAAACAAGGCTCCAGAAAAATCCTTATTTGTGATCACATACGTGTATCACAATATTATATACATATATATGTAACTTCTCACATATGCATATATATCTACAGGATAAATTGCTTAAAGTGGAATTGCTATGTCAGAGGGTTTGTGCTTTTGAAATGTTGGTCTCTGTGACTAAATTGCTCTTCAGAGAGGTTGTACTGATGATGTACACGCTCATAGCAGCATATCCTCGTACTCTTCCCAGCAGTTTATTAAACTTTTTCATGTTTATATTTTTTAAATGATAGTTATGAATACTGTATCAAAGGGTCACCTTTGTGAGAGATTGCATGAATTGAGCGTCCCTGCATTTGTCTGCTAGTAAATTAAGAAACAAATGAGCAAAGATTAATTCCCTTGTATTCATAATAATTTACTCAGTTCAGTCTGAAGACTTAAACTGTGCCTGGTTCGGGATGTACAGGGGTAGAAAGATCTGTCACTTGGTTCCTGTCCCCAAGCAGCTCACCATGTACAGGGAGATATGGGAGGAGTAGCTATGATATGGTGTGTGTTGTGTTATACACAGAGAGAATGGAATCAGGGAACAAGGAAAAGTGTTGCTAGGTGCCAGGGACCCTTGATCATGTAAAACTTGATGGTGAATGTCATCCCAGAAGCAACCCAGGTGGAGAGGAGGGTGCATTCAGTGAGCCTGGAAGCTCATCTGGAGGTTGCCATCGGCACCTCCCTGCAAAAGTGCTGGGCTGCGGGCAGGGAATCGGCTGCCTGTGATTGGAGGGATGTTGCTGGTTGGGATAATGAACTTGGTAGTGTCGGCAGAGGTGATTGGCCGCGCCCTGCTGCAGTGAGAATGCAGACTGGATCTCAGGTCCTGCTTGTGTGATGATCATTAGTTGAGCAAGGACAGTTGAATAATTGGGAGCTGGAAGTTGCTTCTTCCTCCAGGAGAGGTCTGTTGGGCTATTGCTTTTTCCTTTTTTTAAAAAAGCCAAACATTAGATAACCATCCACCTGCAGAAGTGAGTTTTTATTGAAGAAGCTCCAGCTGCTCTCTGCTCGTTGCCAGCAACCCGGCGGGGCTCTCTGAGAGTGAGCTATTTCTCAGGCCAGGCACGACAGCAGTGCTAGCAGATTTGAAAGAGCAGGAAACAGCCACTGCATGCAGAGCTTCCAGACTTACAGCTCCCCAGGCTAGTCTTCCCAGCAGCTGTGTAGCCATCGACCCTTGGTATTGTGATCACATTCCTCCTCAAAAGTGACCAGTCACCGTCAGCGACGTTGGGAGAAAGCCGTGATGTTGCAGATGCTGTGGCATTTTCTGTCTAGTTTTTTCCCTAGGGCTGGGTGCCAAGGCTCCAGAGAGGGGAATGATAACGAAGTCAGAGGCACCCCAGCTCCTGCTCGGGGAGACCAGATGTCAAGCTTTTTGGGGAAACACGACGGCAGGGCTGAGGCCACGGAAAAGAGACCCACCATTTTGCTGGTGGTCGGACCTGCAGAGCAGTTTCCTAAGGTAATGGCAACCTCAAGAGAACCTCCTAGTTTAGGGACTGGTCTAGGAACATTTTCCTGAAAAAAACTGGAGTGTGGGGAGGGAAAGAGGACTTATAAAGCAATCAGTTGGTGTTGGGGGCCGGGAAAAAATGTTAGACAATAAAGTAACCCAAATCTTCAGCCCAGAATCTTTCTGTGGCTACTGTAAAAGCTTTATAACCCTATTATTGCCTTATTATGATCACTTCAGTGTGGCCATTAGGGGAAAGAAGGTTGAATGCCATAGAAGATTTGCCTTAAATTGGTCAGTTTGGCCCCAGAAAGCCACTTGAAAGTAAAGGACAACCGATCACAGTATGTCTTATGTCTTAGCGTATCTGAACAATTCAGGAAGGACTGAGCTAAGCTGGCAACAAAGTGGACCTTCAAAGTTGAAACGAACAGCCTGGAGCTAGGCAGGGTCAGCCTGCCCCGCATCCCAAGGTCAGACCCCTTGCCTTGGTGCAGAGGGCCTTTGGGAGGAGGGTGGGGGGAAGTGGTCAGAGAAAGGCTAGAGTTTCAAGGTGCAGAAGCCCATGCCTCGCTTGGTTCTTTGGGTCTGTTGAGTGCCGGGGCTTTCCATCCATCTCGTGCCCTGAGTGTGGGTTATCTCATCTGATCCACACAAGAGCCAGGGTAAGTGGTGGTACCCCCATTTCATAGATGAGAAAACTGAGGTGCAGAAAGGTTAAGTAATTTGCCCAGGGTTAAACAATTAAAGAGAGGTGGAGGTGAGATTTCACCCTAATCTGTCTGGAATTTTGCCCTGTATTATCTCACTTTCCCTTAAGAAAGCAATTTTTAATGGGACCAATCGAGTTCTCAGGATTAGAATGGAAAGCGCTGTCTGGCTGAGATTTCTCCTGCCTGCAGTAGGAGTGACCTTGTTCACGTCCTGAGCTTTGGTTATTCTGAATCTTTTTTTCCTATCTCAGAATAAAAACCAACTAGAGAAGGAGATTCTGCCCTATGTCCGGCATGTCGTAGATTCCTAAAAAATGTTTGTTGAATTAAATCGCTACACTTATAATAAATGTTCATTTTTCCTTTGCTAAGTGGGAGAGACCTTGGATGCGATATCTTTCGCAATCTTTTAAGATTAAGCGTTGAGGAGAATCCTTGGACTGTAATGAGCTCATCCTTTTCGGCAGGGATCTCCGAGTCTGTATTATGCTTGAGGTGTGCTCCGAGAGATGTCCCTTTTGATTGTTTTAGATGAGCTCAGAAATGGTGTGGTACTGTCTTTTGTGAGGAACTTTTAAAGTCACCTACTTTTGACTTTAATACTTAACTGCTCCATTTTCTAGACTTATACTGACACCTCTTGCCAGCTCCCCCCAGGGTGGCCTTGTATCAGGACTTCCTGTTCTGGACAGCTTAGTTCCTGGCCTGCAGAATCAGGATTGAGGGGGACTGAACCTGAGACTCACACCTTTCACTGGCTCAGAAGGGAGATGGATCAGCTGGCTGGGGAGTGGTGGGAGCCCCAAGAGGGAGATGGACCGGCCGGTTTGGTTTGAAGCAAGAAAGCAAGCACATCTGGGTTGTGTGGACTCTTTTAAAGCAGGTAAACTGGGTATTGGAATAGTAGGAGTGTTTCTGTAGTCCCTGTCCTTTCCCTGTGCAGCTACTCTCGAAGGTAGGCTTTGCGGTTTGTGATCACTGGCCGATGGGGCCTTGGCCTCACTATTTCTCTCAGGAAGAGGCTCCCCAAACATTATGGAACCCTTAGAAGTTCAGGTTGGTTCCCAGGCTTCTCAGTTTCCCAGCAGCATGACTTTGTTTGGCCCTTACTTCCTCTGTCTAAATATGTCTGCCAGTGAGTCAGGTCCCTGTGAGGTTTTATTCTAGAAACTGTTCCAGTTTCCCCTTTATCTTCAACTGGCAGTTAATCTGCCATTAGTCTGGAGTGGGAGGTGCCCTCAGCGGCATCCAAGCTTTCAGATCCTGAGGGACTGTCTTCTCGGAAGCCCAGAGAATTTTGCTTATTGTGTGTCTGATTGCCAAGTGTAGGCAGGTTTCAGCTACACTGGGCTGTCATGGCAACCTGATTGTCAAATGACACTGTGGCCACAGCGGCAATTGAGGTTTAAGAGCCACAGGGGTGGGTGGGGCTAGAGCAGCCGGATGCTGGCAAGGCTCCTTCCCATATTAATGTTTGGGTTCGGTCTGAGTCATTGCAGAGGAGGGGATACTTTGTGACCTAATGCTGTACTCCCTAGGTAGTCTACCTGCTCTGGTCTTACTCATGGTATTTTGGCATTTACCGGAAGCACCTATTTTGTTGGCATGAAGCAGAGTGGTAGAACAAGGAAAGCTTGTAGTGGCATTGGCCCATTTGAGGGTGAGAAGATGCTCTGGGAGGATCTGTACTTTATAGAGTTGATGAAATCAGATACCACTAAATTCAAAGGGATCCAGAGTTGCTGTCATTGTTCCCGAATGCTAATTGTTTCAGACAAGAAACAAAAGTAGATCTAGGTCACAAAATTAGACTACGAGAGCAGAGAAGAATGGTAGATGTCAGGTGGGGGATAGACAGAAAGATAAATGGGATCTTGCCCGGCCAGTGTATCAGTGGTTGAGCGTCAACCCACGCACCAAGGGGTTGCCGGTTCAATTGCCGGTTAGGGCACATGCCCAGGTTGTGAGCCTGATCCCTAGTGGGAGGCATGCAGGAGGCGGCCAGTCAGTGTTCTCTCTCACTGATGTTTCCACCTCTCTCCCCCTCTCCCTTTCTCTCTCTCTAAAATCAATAAAGAAGAAAAATTTTTGCCCTGGCCGGTTTGGCTCAGTGGTTGGAGCATCGGCCTGCACACCAGAGAGTCCCGGGATCAGTTCCTGCTAGGGGCATGTACCAAAAAAAAAAATTTTTTTTAATATACATGGAATCTTAAAGAGCCTGAGTTGGTGTGCAACATCGGAATGAACACGAGCCCTGCTTTCGCCTTCTTCCTTATTTGTATTTCTTAGATGTGTTCAGAAGCAGTAACACAGATACATTTTTTCGTTGTTTTTAGCTAAGGCTAAGCTAAACTTGCTCGAGTTACGGTTTTTCCCACCCACCTGCCACCTTCCAGTTGGAGCTGCTGCTTACAGTAGTTGTCAGTGTCAGCCTGACAAGTGTTCTTTGGAAACTAATTTTAAATCTCCTTTTGGCAGTGTGGGGCTTGGTTTGGGTGCTGTTTTAAGTGTCTGTTGTAACAAGACCCAGGCCCTGGTGAGGCTCAGCCCCACCAACAGGCTCTGGGACCTGGTCAATCTCTCCAGGTCTGTTTGCTCATCTCAGAGATTAAGGAGTGACTCCAGAGATCCTCTGGGCCCTCTGTCTGTAATTTCAGGGATAAAGCATTTACTTTGGACACTAGGTGCTTGGAGATGGGCTTGCTTGGGAAGGATCCCCTGTTTCTGTGTGAAAATGGAGTTCTGTATGACCTATGAAACTCAGGAGGGTGGGTAGTTAAGTGCCAATTTAAGTTTGTCCAGTGAAGATATTCTACTGGACCTGATCGCAGTTGCAAAATAAAAATAAGTTATAATCCCTTTTAAAAATTAACATGGGAATAGAATTAATATAATGTAAAATAACATCTTGGCAAGCACATGCCAGACTTTTCAGAGAACATTTCCTGATACCATTGGTCTGTAAAGTAATGAGCTTTGTTATAATCAAGGAAATTTCATTCAATTTCTTCTAAAAAATAGTTGCTCTTATTTAATGACTGTTTTAATAATTTTTTCTCATATATTGAATATATCTTTCACTTTTATTTGGTTTTGTTTTCAAATGTGTTCTCAGATTTGTCTTGTAAATACATCATAAAACTCAATGGTACAAAAAGAAAAAACTCATGTCCTGGCTAGTTTGACCAGAGAGTCCCGGGTTCGGTTCCCACTAAGGGCATGTACCTCGGTTGCAGTTTGTCCTCGGCCCCAGTTAGGGTCGTATGGGTGACAGCCACTCGATGTGTCTCTCTTGCATTGATGTTTCTCTTTCTTCCTCTCTCTCTCCTTCCCACTCTATCTGAAGATAAATGCAAAAAAAAAAAAAAAAGAAGAAAAGAAAAGACTCAGTAGTTCAGTTACCAAAATTATTTGAAAAATACAGTTTAGCCATGGTCAGTCTGGCTCAGCGGTTAGAGCGTCAGCCTACAGACCAGAGAGTCCTGGGTTTGGTTCCCACTAAGGGCACGTACGTTGGTTGCAGTTTGTCCCCGTCCTGGTTGGGGTCGTGTGGGTGGCAACCAGTCGATGTGTCTCTCTCACATTGATGTTTCTCTTTCTCTCCCCCCCTCTCTATCTGAAGATAAATGCAAAAAAAGAAAAAGAAAAATACAATTTATTAGGAAATGAACCTCTCCAGTTGACAACTTATTTATTCAGTCAGAATATTTGCCATTTTGGAATAACTGCATTCATCATTGAAATGAGATAATTCAACAGATCTGAGTAATTTATTTTTGTTTCAGAAGCAAATGTGAACAAATTAACAAACAAATATCAACATTTTGAAATTCAGCCCTTTTATTTATTTATTTATTTATTATTTTTTTTATCCTCACCCGAGGACATTTTTCCATTTTTTGTTCAGGTAGAGTGGGAGGGAGAGAGAGGTACAGAGAGAGAGAGAGAAACATCGACGTGAAAGGAACACATCGAGTGGCTGCCACCCGCACGACCGACCAGGGCCGGGGACAAACTGCAACCGAGGCACGTGCCCCCAGCAGGAACCGAACCCGGGTCTCTCTGGAACGCAGGCCGACGCTCTAACCGCTGAGCCAAACCAGCCAGGGCAGCCCTTTTATTTTTAAATGTGAACCTCCTTTAAAATAAAAATAATACTACATTATTTTGTTGGGGTGGATGAAATTGGGGTTAGAGGCCTGCCAGACCTGATACATTCATTCAGGAACTGCTTATATCCAGCACCTTCCATGATCAAGGCAAGGGCTCCTTCCATACCAGGAAGTACCAGAGTTTGAAACAAGAGCCTCTTGCCTTCAAGGAGCCCAACAGTAGAGATAAAAATAGCCCTAAAGCAGAACATTCTGGATTGGATAGTTGAAGAGAGTGCTGAGTGTCATGAGATTTAAGTGGGAATCTACCCCTATAGTCCTGAGCTGCCTCAGAATAGCTTGTTGGATCCACCCTAGAGAGACCCAAGACCTGTATATATATTTTTTTTTTACTAAAAAAATATTCTCTTCATTGATTTTAGAGGGAGAGGAAGGGAAGAGGAAAGAGAGAGAGAAACATCAATGGGAAAGAACATTGATTGGCCTCCTCCTGCATGCCCCCCACTGGGGATCAGGCCCACAACCTGGGCATGTGCCCTGACCGGGAATCAAACTGGCGACCTCTTGGTGCATGGGTCCATGCTCAACCACTGAGCCACACTGGCCGAGTGCAAGACCTGTTTATATAGACTTACCATCAAGTCTCTTTTAGAAAGGCAGGAATGTCATATGAGTTAATAAAATCTGTTAGCAGGAACAAGCAAGACTGACTTTCTTTTCATCTTGTGATGTGGCTCTCTTCCTCCAAAGCACCAATCTCTGACGCTTTCTCTGAGTAAGGAATGAGGTAGCAATTGCAGACTGGCCTGGGGAGGATCACCCTGAAATAAATATCAAATATTGACTTTCCAGGACCTGAGATTTTCTCTCATCCTCACCTAAAGGGACATTCTAGCGCAACGTTGCCCAGTAGAACTTGCTGTGCTGGTGGACATGCTAAGTTGAGTGCATGCAGCTATAGAGCACTTGTGCTGTGGCTGTGCCACCAAGGAACTGAATTTTCATTTCATGTCAATTAATTTAAAGTTTAACAATGTCCATGTTGCACAGCACAGTTCTAGGCTGGAAAGCTACAGTAATACTGACCTGTCAAGTGTTCTGAGTGAACGTAGGGTCTGAAGACTACCTCTGTGGGTCTTAAGTGAGGCCTGGCTGACCCCAGATTGCTGCAGTGACCTTTTAGCCTAGAGTGTCCTCTTCCTGTCCCCATCATGTCAGCTCCTCATTGCTGTGAGATCCCCTGGGGAAGCCTGCAGGGGAATGGGTGGGTTCTGAGGTTGTCACATAGTGGGAGTGGCCTGGAAAAGGTCATTGGAGCTGGTCAGAACTGTGCCTAGATTGCTGTGTAGCCAAGGCAGCCTGAACCTAGGGCTCAGCCAGCTGGGGCAGCTCCTCTGCGGATGAATGAGCCCACGGTGTGGCCACTTCCAGGATGGCTGGGGACCTGGCCCTCTACCACCCCACCCCCACTTATACCCTCACAGCTAAACTGGCCCCGTTGTTGTCAGCATTGATTCATTGTTTACATCCATTTATTTTTCTGTTGGGGATGATTGACTAAGGGAAGAAAAATCATTATATTGTGTGACGTGTTTGGGGACCTTGTTGAAAAACAGGGTGAAGGCCATTTGTTCATTTGGAGGGGTTGGCAGCCTGAGGGTGAAGGTTTGTTTGGACTCTGCCTGTCTTGGAAGAGTTAACTTGGGGAGTGGATGACGTCAATCCTGATCTTGACACCTTCTCTTGTGCAGTAGGTCTCTGTGCTGACTGGCTGTTGGCAGGAGTTAGAGTGGGAGGACTTTATTCAGTGAAGTAAGAGGGCAGGGCTTGAGCAGTCAGTGACAGCTGCACCCCTACATATCTTGTGCAAGTTTGCCGGCCAGACAGCATTCCCCATTCTCCACGCGGCCAGAACTGCTCCGGTGGCGGTGGCAGCTGAGCACCGGCTCTCCCCAGCAGCATGCTCTGCCTGTGCCTGTATGTGCCGCTCATCGGGGAGGCCCAGACTGAATTCCAGTACTTCGAATCCAAGGGGCTTCCGTCTGAGCTGAAGTCCATCTTCAAACTCAGTGTCTTTATCCCTTCCCAGGAGTTCTCCACCTTCCGCCAGTGGAAGCAGGTGTGTATGGGGGCTCGTCGGTGCTGGCTGAGTGAATGGATGAGTGGTGGCAGTGGGGATACCTGTGAAATGGGCGAGTTTCTTCCCTGGTTGTCATGTGGCGATAGCCAGTGAAAGAGCTACTTCATGGGAATGACTGTCTTTCATGTGACTTCCAAGGAAGGCCTGAATTATAGGGAAGGCACCTGTGGGAGAAGTGGAAGGGAATTCGCTTGCTGGCGGCAGAAGGGGGGATCCTGAGAAGGGAGGTACAGTGCAGCTGCTGCGGGGCTGGTTCTCTGAGCTGGAAGGAAGAGGCCAGAAGGACACAGGAGGGGAGAGGCAGAGACAGAGAGGCTTCTCATCGGAGGCGCAGGAGTTGGGACGTAGCTGCAGAGGCTCGAGCTGTTAGGGCTGTGCCCTGGGTGAAGCAAACCAATGTGTGAGGTGAGAGGAACATGCCGGACGTCCTTTTGCAGCAGGGAAGCAGCAGAAATTATTACCATTTAAAGATGGGGAAACAGCTATAGACTGGAAATTGCTTGCTTCCTACAGGGGGACCCCAACTCCTCTGGTAATCCGATCTTGTGCTGTCTCCCAGTGCTCGTGGTGGCAGAGGAGGTCAGGTGGTGTGCAGGGGAGGTGATTTGCACATCCTGGGAAGGAGACAGAAAGTAGTTCAGTTGTTCTGAGGTGGAAGTAAATTCTTGGAGATTATTCTGAAATCAGCTATACTGAGCATGTCTGTATCACAGGGCACCCACCCCAATAAGGCACATGGTTCGTGTCGTTGGCAGAGCAACCGGATACCAGAGAGCTTCGTGCCTACCATTCCCCTCCTCCCTAAACAGCATGCAGATTCTAGTTCTGCCCTTGCCATAGATCTACAGTGACAGGCCTATACGTAATTCCTGGCTGAGAGCACAAATGTATGCAGGAAGTTAACATGACTTCAGATAGTAGATAAAATACCAGCATTTGGTCTCACATTCCAGCCACACCCACTGCTCGTTCTTGGGATCATGTTAGGTGGCATGGTATCTGCCCAGGCCTCCTCCTGGCACCCTTGGTAGGTGAGCAATCACAAAGAGCTATCAGGTGGTTCAGAGAGTGACTGATTGTAATTGTTGGAGAGCACCAGCTAGCCAGTGGTCTGTCAATTTCCAAACCCACTGGTCAGAAGGCTTGGAAACCCATATTGGTTTGTGGATAGTGACCATATTGGTCAAAACAGAAAGACTATAACCATTTTGTTTAGGAAACTTTTGTTCCCAGTTTTGGGGTGTTGCTGGATTGGAGTGACTCATGTATGTCCCCACCTTCTTTAGATTAACCTTTAGGGTGGCAGCTGGATCTCTAGGGAGGCGGCCTTGGAGTCCGGCAAGCCTGGCTTGAATCCTCCCCACCAACCACTTCCCTAGCTGTGTGACCTAGGATATATGACTTAACCTCTCTGAGCTTCTGTTTCTTTCTCTCTAAAATGGGGGAAATGATAGTTAGTGCCTACTTCCTAGAGCTGTGTGTGAGGATTCTGCAGGTTTCTAGAGGTAATGTATTTAGCAGGACCCATGGCTTAGAACCTCAGGGTATCTACTGTTCAGTGCCTGGTTGAGGGAGCTGAGGTTGGTTATATCGTCAGACTCCCCTAAGATCAAGCATATGCCCAGAAATAGTTCCCTGTGGCTCTTTCTGCTTCTCCAACCTCCAGAGTTCTCTTTGGCTGTATTTCTGCCAAGCAGGCATTGGCAGGGGCCAGCTCTGCCCCATACCTTCACCCTGGCCTTCCAATTGTTGTGGGCCACTGCCACAGGTAGGGTTAAAAGGGCAAGCTGCAGATCTCCTGGTGGGATCTAGAACTCCAGGGCCATCCATACATTTGGGCAGAGCACCTGTGGGCTGAGGCCTGACACCAGTGATGCACTGCAGGGGAGCCAAGTCGCTGACCCTGGTGGTACAAGTTGCTCTCTAAAGCTTGGAATGAGAATTCACCAAGCCTGCCACTGCTGGCCTCTGCCTAAAGGGCTCTTTGGGTGGTGGTGGTGGGGGGGTGCGGGAGTGACACCTTTTTCTCTTTGTTTGGTGGGCTCTTACTTGGGTTTTGGCCAGCCCTTGGGGATTCAAGTGGTGGCTTAGGGACTAGAGCAAGGGAACCTTCTTGGGCCATTAGGGCCACCTCTGTTCACGGGTTAGTGCAATTGTTTCCTGGGGACAGTGCACCACAAGGGACAAGCTGGTGCATGAACTAAAGGACAAAACCTTACTTTTGTTTCATAGAAAATTGTACAAGCTGGTGATAAAGACCTTGATGGGCAGCTAGACTTTGAAGAGTTTGTCCATTATCTCCAAGATCACGAGAAGAAACTGAGGCTGGTGTTCAAGAGTTTGGACAAAAAGAATGATGGTGAGCATTGCCTCTGAAGCCAATGGCTGGCCCAATCTTGGGGTCCCCATGGGCCTGACTCCCAGCTCACAGCCTCTGTGTTGCAGGGCGAATCGACTCTCAGGAGATCATGCAGTCCCTGCGGGACCTGGGGGTCAAGATATCCGAACAACAGGCAGAAAAAATTCTCAAGAGGTGAGTTCTTAGCCAGTTTCTGGTTTAATGAAACACATTATGACGAAAGAAACGTTCTTGGACTAACTCTGGTGTCATTCACTGTACTGGCCTGTTCTCTGAACTTTGGCTTCTGGTAATTTGAAGGGATGAATAAGTAACCCCTCCCCAGGTTCCAGGTCAGCTCTCGTTTAAAGAATTACTAATCTCCTGGAAGTATGCCTGTTCACTAGTGAGCCACAAGAGAAAAGACTAGTTGCGGGGGGGGGGTTCAAGTAGGTGAAAGGCTTGTAGGGAACACCCTTCTCTGCCTTATCAGCCCTCCACTTAAGGTGGACTTGCCACAATTACATATGCTGCCCCAAAAGGCAGGTCAGAGGTGAGTGGTGGTCCTGGGGGACAGCATAGCTGTTGCTGTGCTGGGAAGTCGCACAGAATAGCCCTAGGAGTGGCTTCCTCTCCTGGCTGAGCCTCCACGTCCCTGGGCCCCGAGCCGGCTGGTCAGGGATAGCAGCCTCCTGTGCCCACTCTCCAGCTGCTGGAGGGGGGGTCTCCTCGTGCTGTGCTGTGCTGTGTGTCTGCCTCACTTACATCCGCTCAGGACGCTTATTTGTACTGTTTCTCCTCTCTCCTCTGCATCCTTCTTTGTCTGTCTGTCAGAATACGGACGGGCCACTTCTGGGGCCCTGTCACCTAGTAAGTATCCATGTCACCCTGGTGACTACCTCCCTCCTTAACCTCTGTGCCTGATCAGAATGGGTTTTTTATGGGTCATTATATCCCTCTTTTGTGCAAAGTGAAGTGTGGAGCCACCTCGCCTTTTCTGCTTGGGGCAGAGGTGCCCTCTGTGGTTTCCTTGGTGGCATGTGCCTGCCTTTGGCTAACCTGGAGGCGGGAAGTACGGCCGATAGATGGGCCTGCGTACACGTGGGCAACCGTGCATTTCTCTTGCAGCATGGATAAGAACGGCACGATGACCATTGACTGGAACGAGTGGAGAGACTATCACCTTCTGCATCCCGTGGAAAACATCCCCGAGATCATCCTGTACTGGAAGCATTCCACGGTGAGCCCTGTGCTCCCAGAGCCTGAAGGCAGTTTCTCTCTCCTCCGTTCATAGGGTCCCCTTCGCCCAACGTCAGTCCCCATCCCAAGGGTGGAGATGGAGGTGCTGGTCCCAGCCCCTTCAACAGCGAGACTGTGCACTTCTCTGCCAGTCCTACAGAGCCCTCCACATGCCCCCTCCATTTCCCACACGCCCGCCCACTTCCGAATGACCTGACCATTCCCCAAACACAGGGTTCCTCTGCCAGAGGTGCCCTCCCATCCCCACCAGCTGCCTGTTCTTCAAGACCCACCAACCCCCTCCGCTGATCGCACTTGCCCTCCCAAAGCCAGTGTGAGCCTTCCTGGGCCAGGGGGCTCTCTCCAGGGAACAAGTGGTACGGCTGGTGGGTTTCTCCCCCACCGTCGCACACATGCTCTCTCACCCATCAGAGCTGCTGGTGAGAAATACAAATCTGCACCCTTACTGGTGGTGGCTCCCTTGACTCCCCTGCCCTCGAGCCTCCTTCATGTGGGGTGCGTCCCTCTGCAGGTCCTTGCTGATCATCCCCTCAGTTTTAGTCTGATCCACCCCAGGCTGTCAGCTCTGGGGGGGGAAGTCAAGGTACTCCTTCTTGCCTGTCCCCCGAAGTTCCCAGGCCAGGGCCTCATCCTCAGGGGGCACCTGGCATCTTTGTTGGTTGAAATTATGTGGACTGCTGACCCATGGGTCTGGCCTGCAGCCCCAGGTCAGAGCAGAGCTGGCCCTGCCTGACCAGCCATGATGCCATCCAGAAGAGAGGGTGATACTCAGGCACAGCACCCCTCTCATATTCGCTGGGGCCTTACATAATGTTCTGCCAGCATGGTCTGGTTACACATCAGGTTTCAGGAGAATTCCACCCCTGGCTTGATCGTTTCCGTACAGCCAGCCTGGTGATCCTCAGCTGAAATGCCTGTGTAAGCTGTTCTTGCAGGAGCCCCTGGCAGTAATCGAGAGGCTGTCTGCAGGCTTCTGTAACTGCTTTCTTCCAGTGGTGCTCACGTTCCGTGCCTGGGCCTCGCCAAGGCCACAGACAGGGCCCGGAGCTTTGCCACCTTCGTATGGTGGGGGCTCTAGTGCATCAGTTTCCCACCCAGAGTCCTTGGCATTCTCACCACCTGGGTGACCCCCTCTAGACGGTGGAAGGTTATAGACCTAGCTGTCCACCAGCAGCTTTGCCGCAAGTGTCAGGGCCTGCTCGTTTGATCTTTGGTTTTTGTTGGTGTTCCTCACAGATCTTTGATGTGGGTGAGAATCTGACAGTCCCCGATGAGTTTACAGTGGAGGAGAGGCAGACAGGGATGTGGTGGAGACACCTCGTGGCTGGAGGTGGGGCCGGGGCCGTATCCAGAACCTGCACGGCCCCCCTGGACAGACTCAAGGTGCTCATGCAGGTATGTAGGAAAACAGGCCCAAACCTCCTGGTTTCCTCTCTGGCGTTGTTTGGTTGGTTGGTCTCCCCTCCCTTGTCTGGGGCCCTACTTTGGGTCCATGTTTTTCTATCCCAATCAGTTATATTGGAATTATTGCTCAGACAAGGGCAACATTAGATCCAGGCCTGGGTAACCTTTTGCACATAGCTGAGCTCTTTTTTTCTGAGGCCTTTAAGCCAGGGGTCACATTACAGGGCCATAATGTGAACAGGTAAAGCCGGTGAGAATGGGGGTGTGGCAGGAACCTTTCTTTAGGCACTTCTTGTGTAGGTGTCACATGGCAGGGAAGGTGTGAGCATAAGCTCACCTGGCCCAGACACCATTTACCATGGCCAGATGCCTGAGTCCACGTCTGCAGGACAGAGATAAGCTAGACCAACGTCAGGGGCAGGATTTCAAAACCAGCCTGCACAAGCATTCACTATTGGACTTTAGCATCTTCTGAGCAGTGTCCAGTTGCTCCTTGCCACCTTGTTTGTTCTGGCGCTTTCCTGCTCAGAAAAGACGTCATCCTTTCCCTTCCCCCCTTGCCCTCCCGGGCCTGCCTTGTGTTAGCCTGTTGGTGCATAATGTGACCCCTCCTTCTCGTGCCGAAACAAGGAAGTAGAGTGGTTCAGGGAGAAGAGCTGTAGGCCTGGAATCATCTGACCCCATTCCAGCCTCAGGGCTGTGTGACCTTGGGCAAGTCACTTGACCCCCAGGACTTCTGACCGAAGAGGCTTGTAATACATTGCCTGCCTTGTCAGTTTTGTTTTCTTCACCGAATTCCCAGGGGTGCTGTAGATAGTGAAAGCACTGCACTTGGGCGAAACGACGCCATCCTGCCGTGTCCCCTAAAGTAATCCAGCGGGGTGGGGCAGTGCAAGGACGCACATGCTGTGGTTTCATGACTGGAAGCTGGTCATGGTTCACGGGCGCTCATTATAGAATTCTCTGTACTGTTGTACATATTTGAAATTTTTCCATAATAAAAAACTCAAATTTTTTCCTAAATCCTCACCTGAGGATGTGTTTTTATTGCTTTTAGAGAGAGCAGAAGGGGGAGAGACAGAAGAGAAACATCGATGTGAGAGAGAAACATCGATAGGTTGTCTCTCCTACACCCCCTGACTGGGAACCCAACCTACAACCCGGGTATGTGCCCTGACGGGGAATTGAACCAGTGACCTTTCTGGTACACGGGACAGGGCTCCAATCAGCTGAGCCACCCGGCCAGGAGAGTTCAGTTTTTTCATTTTAAAAAGTAGTCCTTATGGAGGTGTTTAGCATGACGTTGACACACAGTAGGTGCGTGGTGAGATCTAGCTGGACCTTGAGTGGCCGTGTTTGATTCTCACAGTGCTGAGTTAGTCTTCAGAATACAAGAAGGTGGTGCCTGCCTGTCAACCTTGATGGCTGGCCAGTGAGCAAAGGCTCTCTGTCGGATGGTGGCAACCCTGTGGCTGCTGAGTTCCTTCTGACCCCTTGTTCCTTCCCTCCTCAGGTCCACGCCTCCCGCAGCAACAACATGTGCATCGTGGGTGGGTTCACCCAGATGATTCGAGAGGGAGGGGCCAAGTCACTCTGGCGGGGCAATGGCATCAATGTCCTCAAAATTGCCCCGGAGTCTGCCATCAAATTCATGGCCTATGAACAGGTGAGAACCTGACTCTCCAGGGAGACTTGTCAATTGGCAGCTGCCTGCTGAGCTTCCCCTGGGCTGAGGTCTCTGCCCTGCTGATACCCTAGTCATTGTACCTCAGAGACAGCAGGGCGAGGTGGGATGTGGGGGGCCTGGGTCTGACCCATCTCTGCTGCCATTTCCACTGTGGGCCAGGGATACATGTCTTGGCTAAGCCTGATTGGCTCCGGGAGGAAGGGTGGGGCAGGGGCAGGTGCATTGGTCTTGGGTGTATCAGTTTGTTTGCTCCCTGTTGTAGATCAAGCGTCTTGTTGGGAGTGACCAGGAGACTCTAAGGATTCAGGAGAGACTTGTGGCAGGGTCCTTGGCAGGGGCCATCGCGCAGAGTAGCATCTACCCGATGGAGGTGAGGGGCCACCTTGGTCCTGGGGCGGGCAGTGCACGTTGGGATGAAACTGAGGGGTGGGCCATGCTCATGTTTCTGTTGCTTCTGTTGGGTTCTGCAGGTTCTGAAGACCCGGATGGCCCTGCGCAAGACAGGCCAGTACTCGGGCATGCTGGACTGCGCCAGGAAGATCCTGGCCAGAGAGGGAATGGCCGCCTTCTATAAAGGCTACGTTCCCAACATGCTGGGGATCATCCCTTACGCGGGGATAGACCTAGCTGTCTACGAGGTAAGGCCCTAGAGGGTTCAGGCCTCTTGTACTGGCAGGAAAGATTCAAAAAGCCCCTCTTCACCATGTCCCCACCTGTTGTCTCCATGCCTGGTAACCACTGGGAATGAGTAGGACAAAGAACAGCACCAAAGTGTCTCCTTCAGACTCATCCATTCATTGCAAGGGTTTCCTGCAGCCCCCAGGTTCTGTCCCCCAGGAACTTGGCAGGCATCTCCAGAGCACAGTGCTCTGTAGGGAAGGGGTGCTGCCTCTGCCTCATCCCCATTTCCTGTCCTACGCAGGAATCCCCAGGGACAGCAGAAACAATGGGCGGGCAGGCCAGGAGCCTAGGCCAAGGGAATCAGGTTACAGCGGCCTCACAGATCCCGTGTGCTGGGATCTAATGACGCTGTCTCCCCCAAGCCGCAGCCTCTCACTGCCCCCACTCCTGGGCTCGCAGGCACTTTGGCTCATCCCTGCACCCTTTCCCCTGCAGACACTCAAGAATGCCTGGCTGCAGCGCTATGCAGTGAGCAGTGCAGACCCTGGCGTGTTTGTGCTCCTGGCCTGTGGCACCATATCCAGCACCTGTGGCCAGCTGGCCAGCTACCCTCTGGCCTTGGTCAGGACCCGTATGCAGGCCCAAGGTAAGGCTGGTCCTAGGCCAGTCCCCAGGGGCCCATCTTCCTGGGCAGATTGGGATCCAGGGAGGAGCTGGCAAAAGGCCTCTGATGGGTGACCTTTTTCACTGCAGCCTCCATTGAGGGCGCCCCGGAGGTGACCATGAGCAGCCTCTTCAAACAGATCCTGCGTACCGAGGGGGCCTTTGGCCTGTACCGAGGACTGGCCCCCAACTTCATGAAGGTGATCCCAGCTGTGAGCATCAGCTATGTGGTGTACGAGAACCTGAAGATCACCCTGGGCGTGCAGTCTCGGTGACACGACAGGAGGGAGGACAGCCTTGCCCAGCGGACTCGCTGATCCTGGGCCTGCAGCCCTGGGATGTGTAGCATCTCATTCTGTGAATGTGCCAACACTAAGCTGACTTAAGCCAAGCTGTGAAAACCCTGGGAAGCATTTGTAGGGAGGGGTGGGGGAACTGGCAGGCCCCCTGGGTTTGTCCTGCTGACCTTGGCCGACCCTCCTATCCATTCCATGGAAGTCCGTGGCTATCCCTCGGGTCCAGGCGTCAGCAGGACTCAGGCTTATGCGTAAAGGGACAGGATGTTTCTTGCAGTGCCTGCCAAACAGCAGAGCTAGGAGGTGGCTTAGTTCTTCCATCTCCTCTTCCCACCCAGACCATGGGCCAGGGCCCCCGCCCTCTAGCCTGCTGGGCATCTTTCCCATGCCCACTTTGCTTCTTCCTCACTGCTGTTTTAATATGGTAGGAGGGGGGCTGCCAGCCCACTCCCATGACCCACCTCACTCCTCATCCCTTAGTCCATGGGGAAAGGTACTTCCACCTGACCTCACCACCCTGACTTCCCAACGTACACATCGCTCTGGCTGGGCTGTGCAGGGAAGAGGGCGGCGTCTGGCTGTGCTCACCCCCGGCTGAGCTCACCAGCAGGTGGTGCGGATGCCCATGTGCATGCAGGGACAAGGGCCAGCCCTGCCATTGGCTGCCTGGCCCCCGGGCGCATGGCTTTCCGGGAGCTGTGTGCTGGTCCTAGAACCTAGAAGCTTCTGCCCTGTGCTGCTGGGGGTCTCCTTGTGCTCTGAGCTGGCTCCGGACTCCACTGGGACTGGCGCCAGCTCAGACCAGCACCCTGACCCCCTCTGGCCTGAGGGCAGTGGGTGCGGTAACAGGAAGGCCAGTTTCTGCCCTGTGTCTGTGTGCCCTGAGAGAGAGGGTTAGCCTTAATTATGTATTTGCAAGGAAAGAGTTTTATTCAGAAAGACACGCCGGACAAATGTGCAGGTTCTGTGCTTCCAGAGGGAAGACAAAGCAAGCAGAGCACTTGGCTGACTGCATTACAGTCCCTGATGCCCCTGGGATTGTGTCCAGTCCCAACCGGGGCCACACGGGGCCAGCCTCACATTCCACTGATGCGACGTAGCACACTGCTTGGAGCCTATTTATTTCGTATTTATTTGAACAGAGTTATGTCCTAACTATTTTTATAGATGTGTTTAATTAATAGCCTGTCATTTTCAAGTTCATTTTTTATTCATATTTATGTTCATGGTTGGTTGTACCTTCCCAACACCTAAGAGGTGGGATGAGGAGAGAAAGTGGAAGTGACCTTCCCATCACTGCCCACAGGGGCGTCACATCTGTCCAAAGACAGAAAAGGGACAAGGAGCGGAGGGGCCTGGGTCACAGAGAGGTCCTCTGGCTGGCCGGGCCGGGCGCGCACCCTGGACGCCGCAGGGCCCGGGGGTTTGACGGGGGTGGGGAGAGTGGGAGAAAGCGCCATTCCATTGAAGATGGAAGTCCAAATCCTTTCTCGGACCAGGAGGATGTCTTTATTTTGCCCTTTCTGAATGACGAGGCAGCGAGGTGCCTATCACTGTGAGTTTGGAGTGGGGCTGGAGGAGAGGCTGGCCAGCTCTCCACGCCTGCGAGGGGCTTCTCTCCCCGCCCCCACCCTGCTGCCTGTCAGTACGCTGGTCCGCCTGCAGCCTCACAGTTGCACTTTTCATTCCACCAGAATGGCCCGATGAGGACAATTTAATTTATATAGGATGCAAAGATCAATGCAAAAATTATTGTTAAACAAATATAGTTCTAACTGGATTTGTGACAAAGCAAATTAAAGAATTGGGAGTTGTCATTTAAAACAGCCTCTAATAAAGTTATTTCGAAGCTGATGATGGAGCATGATTTTTCTGACCTGGGCTTGGATGGTATGGGGTATTCACATTAGAAAATGAGCCCAGTTTTTTCATCAGAGAAAACAAGAGCCCGGCTGGTGTGGCCCAGTGGATGGAGCACTGTCCCATGGATAGCCGTCTCGTCCCATTCCCGGTCAGGGCACATGCCTGGGTTCCGGGCTCCATCCCCAGTTGGGGGCAGTAAGGAGGCAGCCTATGTTTCTCTCACATCGATGTTTCTGTCTCTCCCTTGCCCTCCCTCTCTCTCTAAGGAAAAAAATCAATGAAAACATATTAACCTGTTAACCGAGCGGGACGTATAAATACGTCGAACGTTGCATACAGTAAAAAGGGAATTCCCCGGTTATTCCCCGGTTAACAGGTTAAGAAGACAAGAAAACCACCCCCTCTGGGTTTCTCAGAGACATTCCCTCTTTAGAATGTGTGTTCATTGGATTTGGGCTGCTCTGACCAGGCCACTGTGCCCTCTGATTGCTGAGTCTGGTGGCCTCCCCTTTGCCCTCCTCTGACTCGGCTCCTCCGGCAGAGCTGGTGGCTCCTTCCTGCTGGAAGCAGCCCCAGCCCCCACCTGCTTCACCTCCCCCGGGCTCCTGCCCATCTTCCTGACTTAGAGATGTTGGAAGGCCCCACCTGGTTTTATTTGCTTTCTGCCTGTCACCCCAGGAGAGGAGGAGGCCTCTGGGGACAGGGCTCAGTGCACGTAGTACTCCCCAGGTGTTCATTAAATAACAGTCCACATCCGCATCCCGACAGCCCCGTGCCGCGGTTGCTGCGGGTCGGGACGGTGTGAAGAAGCTGGGGGTCTGCCCGGAGCTCGGACACTCAGGCTGTGGGGAGCACGGGAGTGTGCCCATGGAACTGGCACGTAGCACTGGGCCTGGGTTGAACAGTGTCTCCCCCCGCCCTCTGCCCCCAATTTGTGTCCACGGGGAACCTCAAAATGTTGCTTTAGCCCTGGCCAGTTTGGCTCAGCGGTTAGACCGTCCGCCTGCGGTCCGGAGAGACCCGGGTTCGGTTCCCGCTAAGGGCACGTACTTCGGTTGCAGTTTGTCCCCGGCCCTGGTTGGTCGTGCGGGTGGCAGCCACTCGATGTGTACCTTCACGTCGATGTTTCTCTCTCTCTCCCTTCCTCTCTCTCCCTCCCACTCTATCTGTACAAAAAATGGAAAAATATCCTCGGGTGAGGATAAAAAAACAAAAAACAAAAAAACAAAATGTTGCTTTATTTGGCAATAAGGTTTTTGCAGATGTAGTCCAGTTAAGATGAGGTCATGCCAGATTAGGATGGGCCCTAAATCCTGTGACTGGTGTCGCAGAAGGGAATTTGGACGCAGACAACCAGGAGAGACGCAGAGAGCGCCGTGTGACGACAGGCAGAGTGGGTGGTGCCATGCTGGCAGCCCCCGGAAGGAGAGGCAGGACAGTTTCTCTCTCGGACCCTCCAGGACCCAGCCCTGCTGACACCTGGGCTTCAGACACAGCCTCCTGGACTAGGAGAGGGCTTTCTGTTGTTTTAGGCCCTGCAAGTCTGGGGAGTTATCAGCCCTAGGAAACTAACGTGCCGTTTGCCCCAGTTGTTTGTTGTCTGGGTGACGGGCATCAAATCATTTCCCAACCCTGGGATCTTGGCAAATTGGTGCCCCACGCCTCCTCAGTTCCCTCCGGCGGGAGGCACTGGTGTGATTCCCCATCAGCCTGTCGAGGTTTCTCTTCCCCTTCCCCTTTCTCTCTCTAAAAAAAAAAAATCAATAAAAACATTGTTTTAGTGGTAACCTGTTCACCCACCCAGCCCAGCCCCACGTCCTTTTCCTTTTCTCCCAGCACTTGCACCACCCACTCGGCTGCCTGCTCTCCTGTTTGGGGTCTGTTCCCTCCATGAGGGCTGGGCATTGGCCTCACTGCCGGTCCCAGCAGGTGCCGGGCAGCTTCACGACCAGTTACTCCTTGGCTGGAACCCAGCCAGACGGTTCGTGGTGTGGTAGGCAGAACTACGCCCCTGCTGAGGGTGTCTGTGTCCTGATCCCCAGAACCTGTGAATCAGCCGACATGGCCAAGGAGGTTAAGGCTGCAGATGGAATTAATCAGCTGACCCTGAAACAGGGAGATGAGCCTGGATTGCCTGAGGGGCCCCCAATAATCACAAGATCTCTCAGTGTGGGAGAGGAGCTGGGAGAGAGCCAGGGAGGTGGCGCAAGGGCTCTGCCCAGGTCGCTGGCTTTGAAGACAGAAAGGGACCAGAGTTCAGGAATGCAGGCGCCCCTGGGAGCTGGAGAGGCCAGGAACAGACTCCCCACCCCCAGCCTCCCGGAGAATGCTGCCCTGTGAGCCGAAGCAGCCCAGTGAGCCGCGTTCCAGGTGCTGACCTCCAGATGTGCCTGGAAGGGCCGCTGGAAATCAGACGACTGCGTTACCCCCGCTCCCCTCCCCATCCAGGATTCCAAATGGACACAGTCATTTCCACCGAAATGCTCTGACTCATTCGGGCCTGGGATCTCTGGCATCTGAAAGGAAATCCAACTGGAGGGTGGGTGGGGGTGGGGAGCCACTTTTGCTGTGAGGAGGGTGTCTTCAACCTCCTTTAGCTCATCTCTGAATCCTGGGGACGGCGGGTATGGGGTACCAGCTGGGGACGGCACCGCAAGACCTCGCTTAGCCGTCAGCAGTTCCAGGAGGTCACTCTGCCACCACATCTCCATTTTACAGATGAGGAAACGAAGGCTCCGGGAGGGGACTTGCCTAGAACCTCGCCATGAGTAAGGGCCTCAAAGGCAGGCCCGTGGACCCCGGCGTGCCGCATGCCTGGTGCTGGGCAGGGGGGGCTACAGGGGGGCTGGAACGGTGCCACGATCCACTTCGGGGAACCTCGGTCCCCGGCTGCTCTCCCAGGCCGGGGGCCACAGAGAACCTGTGGGGCAGGACTGTACTTGAATCGATCCTGGCACCTTGGCGGTAAGATCTTGGGCACGTCTCATGGCTCTCTGAGCCTCAATTTCCTCGCAAGCAAGATGGGCCCAGAACCTTCCTTACAGCTCAGAGGGGGAGGACTCATCCTGGTTCATACAGGGCAACGCTGAGCTGAGGTTCAAACCAGCTTTGCTGACTCAGGCCATGTTCTCAAGCTCGGCTCCCGCTGGGCTGCCCCGGACCTCACTGGTTCGACCGGGTGGAATGTAGGGGAAGGGTGACAGCACGAGCAACCCGGAGCTGGGCCAGCTGCCCAGGTGCGGACCTTGGTCCCTGGGCTCCAGGACAGACGAGCAAGCTGGAGCAGACCAGTGAGGCCCAGTCACAGTGGCTGAGAGGCCGGCCAGGGCTGGATGGGAAGGGCCAGCAGGAGGGGTCATGGCGTAGGGCAGGGAGGCACCCAGAATGAGGAAACTGAGGCTAGAGAGAACCAGAGGCTGGCCCCAGTCCCCCGAGGAAGCGAAATAGACCCAGGCCTCCTGCTCTGGGCCCCAGCTCACCTGAGGAGAGGTCTCAGCTGCTTGCTGTCCCCACCAGCACAGCCTCTGTGGCCCAAGAGGAACCTTTATCTCCCCACAGCAGGTGTGGAGGCTGCTGAGAGGCGCTGGCCCTGCCCACGCCTGCTGAAGAGCCCAGCCCCAGCCCCTCGTTTTGCAGGGGCACTGACGCGGGCAGGGGACTTGCCCAAGGGACAGTCGCGGCTTCTCTTCCCTGGCTGCACCGGCTGACACCGTGTACCAGTATGCCAGGGCTGCTATTACAAATTGCCGCCAGAAAACCTGGCGTCTTAACGCAACACAAAGGTGTCTTCTCACAGTTCTAGAAGCCAGAGTCCAAAATCCATCTCACTGCGCCGAACTCAAGGTGTCTGCAGGGCCGGTTCCTTCCCAATTCCTTGCCTCTCCCGGCTTCTGAGACCGCCTGCCTCCCTTGGCTGTGACCTCTTCCTCCCGTGACCCCAGCCTCTGCTTCTGTAGTCAGGTCTCCCTCTTCTAAGCACACTGGTGGTTACACGTAAGGCCCGCCTGGGTAATTCAGGAAACTCTCTCCATCTCAAAATCTTGCATTTAATCCCATCTACAAGACCCCTTAACCACCTGAGGTAACATTCGCAGGTTCCAGGGTTAGAAACTGGACACATTTGGGGGCCACTCTTCAGCCCACCACAGCTCCTGTTCCCTAGTAGACCCTGCTGCCCGACAAAATCCTTCCCGCTCAGCTGGTTTAGCAAACAGGGACCAGCCATCCCATGGAACACCCGGAGTGCTGCACATCATCCGGAAGGAGGAGGGAGAACCGTGTCTAATCTGGAATACGTTTAGGATTGAGGCTCTACTTTGTGATTTGAATTTTTATTTAAAATAAAGAAAAATTGCCTGGTTGGTATGGCTCAGTGGTTGAGCGTTGACCCGCGCACCAGGAGGTCGCTGGTTCGATTCCCAGTCAGGGCACATGCCCAGGTTGTGGACCCGATCCCCAGTGAGGGGCATGCAGGAGGCGGCCAATGGATGTTCTCTCTCATTGATGTTTCTATCTCTCCCTCTCCCTTCCTCTCTCTCTAAAATCAATAAAGAAAAAACAATTTAAAAAAATAAATAAAGGAAAACTTATCGAGAGAGCAAGAGGATCAATGTGACACTGTGATGAAGACCAGAGACCCTGGAGCCATGAGTTCTGGGTTCACGTCCTGCCTCTGCAACTTCCCAGTCAGTTGTGTGACACCAGGGAATTCACGCAACTGTTCCGATGCCTGTTTCCTCATCTGTAAAATATCTGTGCCTACTTCACAGAGATGTCGTGAGAGTTAAATGAGGTAATGTACATGAAGAGCTTAAAACAGTGCTTGCCACCAAATTTAACTGATATATAAATATGTATTTACTACATATAAAATATAAATATATATTTGAGCTATATGTAGGGTACATAAAAGATAAACAAGAAGGCTGTACAGTCGCCCCTCGTTTATCGCGGTTAATCCGTTCCAGACTCTAGCGGTTGCGCCTGGCGCTGAAGGATCCTGGGGCGCTCGAACACATAGGCCTACAGTCCACACGTACAGTGATTTTAATTTTAGTTGTAATACAGGGGTGTATAATTGACTCAGACCACCGAGTGTGCGCTGTATCATTTTCACTGTCTCGATCAACTTTTTAACGAATATATTCGAAAAAACTGCGATAGAGTGAAGCCGCGAAAGTCAGAGCGCGAAGTGGCGAGGGACGACTGTACCCTAAAAAAATGTTTAAGTGGTTGTATCTCTGGGTGGTGGGATGGTAACAGTTGGCACCATCTTTTTGCTTATCTGCCAGTTCTTTTTCTTTCTTTCTTTTTAAAATTTGTTCATTATTGCCCTGGCCAGTTTGGCTCAGCGATTGGAGCATCGGCCTGCAGAGAGTCCTGGGTTCAGTTTCCACTAGGGGCACATACCAAAAAAAATACAGTTTTTCTTTATTGATTTGAGAGAGGGAGAGAAATAGAAATATCAATGAGAGAGAACATCGACTGGCTGCCTCCTGCATGCCCCGCACTGGGGGTCGGGCCCACAACCTGGGCATGTGTCCTGACTGGGAACCGAACTGGTGACCTCTTGGTGCGTGGGTCAGTGCTCAACCACTGAGCCACACCAGCCAGGCGCCAGTTCTGTTTATATACAATAAACATTCATTATTTGCATAACATGGTGAAATTTAAAATTTTAACATCTAACAAAAGTGAATCAGAAGTCCTCCAATCTTTGAAGTCTGGGCTGTGGCCCGGGCCCGGGCAGCCGGCGTCTTCTGCAGCCTGCCGGTTCCTCCTGCCTTCCCGACTTAGGGCTCTCGCTGTTCTCAGGACTCTTGGCCTTTGTACTTTCTAAAGTTCGTCTGTGAGCTCTGGGAACCTGGCTGGGAACAGAGCAGGGAGTGTGTTCTGAGAATAGACAGCCGACCCACTGGCTGCGTAAAAATGCCCCTCACTTGTTGACTACTGGGTTCATCAGCTGTGATGCCACTAATCCCATGGGGGTTAACTGACCTCCAGTGGCTCATCTAAGGATGGGCAAGGACGGGGCCTGCCCAAGGTCACAGCGAGCAGTGGTAGGTAGGGTTCCCACCTCAGGCCTTCTGCTGCCATCAAGGATGAGGGACCTGAGCATGACCAGGATGAGGCAGGGGTTCCTGGCTTGAGGCCCTTATTCCTGGGAGGTGTGCTTTTCCTACCTGCCCATCTTCAGACCCTTGCATGCTAAACCCTTTTTACAGTTGGGCAAATAGTCCCTGGATAATGAAGACAGCCCAGATAATATGCAATGCTAGAGCTGGACACAAGGTGGCAGCAACAGACCTTGTTTCCATCTCCTACAGGGCTTGCTGCCTCTACCACTCTGGTGATTTGGGGAAAACATGCCAAGCGAGCCAGGCCAAGGAACACAGGAAAATTGAGGCCAGATTGTCACCTTTTTTAATTTTTTAATTGATTTTGTTGTTGTTGTTGTTGTTAATCCTCACCTGAGGATATTTTTTCCATTGGTTTTTAGAGACAGTGGAAGGGAGGGAGGAAGGGGAGAGAGATGTGGGGACACCCAACCAACTGAGCCACACTGGCCAGGGCAGGTTGTCACCTCTTGCGGGGGGGAGGGGGAGGATACTCGGTGAAAGAAGCAGGGCTCAGTTGGTGCCCCATGGTGGCCTTGGGTTGACTAGCCAGTCTCCAGCCCCAGTCACAGAGATGGAGTCTAGCTAGCACCCTCCATGGGCTTTGCATCAAGGTGACCATTCAGTTGAGGAGGGTGAGGATGCTTCAGACAAGCTCCTCTGTGCCTGCCGCAGCCCCAGGGAAAAAGCCCGAGTCAGGAGTCAGGCTCCCGTCCCCAGCTTGGTTCAGCTACCAACTATAACTTCCTTTGTGACATGTGGAAACAGTAGAAAGCATCTCTGTGACATATGCAAACAGAGAGAGGGGACATGGCTGGTAGCAGGGACTCGCCTGCCCCTGCAGCCTCCTTAGTTGGACTGGGCCTCAAGGGGAGGCCGAGGCTGGAAGACATCATCACTGGGCTGAGCAGGAGGAACAGAAGGGGCTGGGAGCACGGGGTGGAGTTGCGGTGGTGAGACCCCTCCCTGGTTACAAATGTCATGGACAGACAGTGGACATTTGTCCCAAGCGGGGCACATCAGGTGCTCCCTTTGGGACTGAGACAAAGGAGAGGGGAATCTGCCTCCTTGCGCAGCCGGAAAGGTACCAAGTAACCTGGCGAGGTTGAGGGTGGCAGGAAAAGGCTGGGGGAGAAGGGAAAGGGGTGGGGGCAGCAGGCAGGAAGCAGGGCCCCTTCGGCGCCCCATGGCGCTCAGCCCAGTCCCTGCACTGCTGAGGGGGCCCTGGGGCCCACAGGCCACCCCAGACCCCTGGAGCAAAGGCCCCTTGAGACTTAAGGTCTGAGCAATGACACAGGAACAGCATTCTGGACACTGGTGCCTTGGGGACCCTGACACCTATTGATTGGCCCCTCGGCGGCAGCTTCCATGGGTCCTCATGCCACAAACGTGTGGCCTCAGGCCCAGGCTTCTCTCCTTCCTCCCACAGCCCCGCATGCTCAACACCCCCAGGGGACAGCAAGGGGGAGCCACCCCAGTGCTCCTCCACACGGACCCGCCTGCTGGCTGTGCCCCCACACTGAACGAGCCAGCGTGACACACGCTGACAGATGCCCACGACGGGCGAGAACAGGCAGGCAGCAGCCCAGCCCCGTGGGAAAAACCGAGGCTGCCATGTCTAGATGTTACCCTGTTTCAGGGAACATAAATTATTTTTGTTTTAAAATAATAAAGGCCCTGGCCGGTTTGGCTCAGCGGTTAGAGCATCGGCCCATGAACCAGAGTCCCAGGTTTGGTTCCCGCTAAGGGCACGTACCTCAGTTGTGGTTCATCCCCGGCCCCCACTGGGGTTGTGTGGGTGGCAACCAGTCGATGTGTCTCTCTCACATCGATGTTTCTCTCTCTCTCTTCCCCCCTCTCCTTCCCACTCTATCTGAAGTGCAAAAGTGTCCTCAGGTGAGGATTAAAAAATAAATAAAATAATAAAGAATGAGCCCCACCGGTGTGGCTCAGTGGTTGAGCATCAACCCATGCACCAAGAGGTCGCTGGTTCAATTCCGGGTCAGGACACATGCCCAGGTTGTGGGCCCGATCCCCAGTGGAGGGCATGCAGGAGGCCGCCAATCAGTGTTCTCTCTCATCGCTATTTCTATCTCTCTCTCCCTCTCTCTAGAAATCAATAAACAAAAAATGAAATATCATGACCCATGAAGGACTAATATTTAAAGAATGAAATATCAAAACTCCAGAATGGGTCTGGGAGGAGTGCCCAATCACCCCCCAACAGAGAGGACTCAGTGGAGAGTTGGGTGCACCGGCCACCTTTCCGGCCTCTGGAGGGCTGCCATGGTGGGCACCTGGGCCTCTTATCTGCCAAGAACAGGGGAACAATGACCCCAGCCCGGGGCACCATGTTCAGAAGGGGCTTCTACCCATAGTCCCCCTCAGTCCTCAGCTGGCTTCTCTCTACAGACCCCATCCCAGTGCCCATCCCTGTGAAACCCCAGGCCTGGGATGGAAGCCTGGGCTGGCCGCCCACTGCCAGGGCGCCTCGGCAGGCACTGTGCCCCCTGGACCCTCTGTCCTGGGCTGTAGAGCAGGACTGCAGCTCTGGCCCCTGCTGAGCCCGGTGTCCTTCTATGCACTTGACCCGCATCTTGTCATCGGACCCTCACCACTTCCCCTCGCGGTGGGGACCATCATTATGCCCATTTGACAGATGAGGAAACAGAGGCTCAGACAAGGGCACCACCATCCAGAGTCCCACAGTCAGTCCCTCAGAGACCACACACTGGGCCACCTCTGAGCCTCCCTGCTGGGGTCCCAGGAATTACGTGACATGAAGCCCGCTAAGCCTTTCACCCCAGGCCTTAGTAACTCTGGACAAACGTGGCTGGGCGTGGTCCATCTGAAGCCACCCAGACAGGCGGCCACGGGCCTCACTGCAGCACCGACACCAGGGGTCAGCAATCTTTTTCTTTATTTCAAACAAGACAGAGTCCCAGGGGTGCTTGGGCAGAGCAGAACCATGAGGAGTCAAGGATAGGGCTCTCCCTAAACCAGGATGCCCCTGTTTCCCTTGGCCAGGGTGGGGGCTCAACCCAATCCCCCCACAGGGTTAGACAGGGCAGGGCCGAGGGGGAGGTAGCCTCCCTGTGCCCCTCAGGGGGCTGTCCCCAGCATCCCAGGGTCCCAGCAGATGTCCAGTATTAGAAACAGTAAGCTGCGGGGTGGGGGTGGACAAGAGGTAGAATGAGACTGTCGCCCTGCGCAGCATCGCCAAGTGCTGGCCCAGTGGCCCGGGCCGGGCAGCCGGCGTCTTCTGCAGCCTGCCGGTTCCTCCCGGCACGACGCTCACTCACTGGGGGGCCTCAGCGATGGCCTTCTCCACCCGCAGGTACCAGGGCTGGATGCGGGTGTGACGCATCAGGTCGTCAAAGGCCTCCAGGCCCTCCATCACACGCAGCACCCCATACACGGCCTGCGGTGGATACAGAGGGGCATCCAGACCTGCCCCATCATCTGCCAGCTGTGTGCCCTGGGCCCGTCACCTCCCCTGAGGGCTCCAGGACCCATGGAGGACTAATTCTGCACGCAGGGCTTTGAATGAAACATCGGGATAACTGTAGGCTTTACCTGCCCCACACCCGCACCCCCTTTTTGGGCAAACACACATCCCCAGGGTTTCCTTTGGGAAAATACCTCCCCCCACTCTCAGGTCCTGAGACACCCTCCCCCCCAGACCTGGGCCTGCCAATCACATGTTTCACCCTGGCTGCAGGAATGCTTCACCATGGACATGGATCCAGGGCTTTTTGCCGGGGGTAGCCTGGGGCACTGGCAAAGGCTGGCCTTGGGCTGAGGCCAACTTCAAGGAGTTCAGATGTAACAGGGTATCCTGAGCCCTGGTAATACCACTTGGGCCCCTGGATCCAGCCAAGCCTGAAGCCAACCCCTCCATTAAACTTGTCAGTTATGGGAACCAAAACGGTTCCTTGTAGTTGGTTTCCCTTAAGCCCCTGACAACAGATGGAGCCAGGTGCCTCTGAGGTGGGGGAGCTGGGACAGGTAGGTATTGCCTACATCCGGGCTCTCCCTGCCTGGACTTCCCCAACCCAAAGACAGGATCCTCAATCTGGGCACCCCTCACCACCACCACACTCACCAGATCAGCCAGGTTGGGCTGCTGGCCCCCCATGAAGGGCCGGTCTTTGCCCACAGCTGCCACCCACTTGTCAGCAGCCTCATACAGGTCCTCACGCACGTCATCCTGGAGGTGGTGCCTGGGCAGGGATGGGGGAGTCCTTCAGGGGCACTGCCATCCAGGCCCAGGTGGGTCAGCGAGAAGGCCATCACGCACACGCACACACATGCACACACGTTCACCATCACCTGCTCTTGAGCCGCTTGCTGATGAGGAACATGGCAGCTGCGCCCAGGTACTTGGCCACGGCGCCCTCCACGGCCCCGAACTTGCCCTCCCGGACGATGTAGTCAAAGGAGGCCAGGGCCTCAGTGGGTGTGCGGTACACGTTGGGGGATATCAGGTGCACCAGCCAGTCGTCCGCCCACTGCCGCCACTTCATCTCCTCCCTGCGGGCAAGCAGCGGGCAGAGTGGGTCCTAAGCCAGGGCCTGGGAGGTGGGGAGCAGACCCACTATCTAGATGGGGAGTTGAGGCCTAAGCAGCAGGTCCTTATGCAGACAGCCCCAGCCCTCGCGGTCTCCCATGCTGCTCCCCCCGCACAGCATCTCGCTCAGCCTGGTCCCCTCTGAAGAAGAACCACCCCCCCAAACCCACTCCCACTCGGGCAGCCCAGACCCACTCACGTCCTGGCCTCCTTCCCCCCATACATTCGCTGGGCCTCCTTCTCGTCCAGCATGAGCCAGTACTTGTTGCAGAATTCGGTCACCTCCTTGCCCTGGTCATTCACGGCCTTCATGGATGGATAGTAGGTGATGATGACTTCCAGGGGCTGCCTTTGGGATACATCCAGAGTCTCACCCCAACTCCTTCCTCCTCCAGGAGACTGAGCCCTCGCCTCCTTAGGGTGAACATCCACCCCAGCCTGACCCAGCCCTGGGTGGAGCCAGGACCAACCCACAAAAGTTTTTCACCCTTTTGTGGGTGACACAGGAGGTCCTGCAGCAAGAGGGATTTGGGGCAGACACCAGGAGCACTTCCCTGACAGAGAGAGATGTGCGGAGGAGAGGACAGGGAGTCTCTGAGCAGGACGCCAGGGCCCATTCTGAAAATGTAAGCAGCAGCCCCACCCCGCTCCCATGCAGGGCTCAGGTGAGGCCTCCCTGGACACAGAAGGGATAAAGGCTCCTGCCAGGGGCTCCTTACCCCGACACCAGGTAGGTCTTGAGGGCGCTGATGATGACAGAGGAATCGTTCAGTTGTTGCTGGAGGAGAAGGGTCAGTTTAGATTGTGGATGGGGGTGGGGAGCTCTGAACAACACGGGTGCCCAGGCACTCCGCAGGCACTGGTGGATGGAACCGGGGCACTGGTGCGCCACCTGGGGGTTTACCCCTATAACCAACGCCCACTGAGCTCACCCCTGCCCCCAGGATACAGTTCCCAGTCTTAGGGCAGCCCGTCATAAGGGGGACCCCGGTGTGGCTAATGGGGAGAGGGTGTGGGGAGGACCCAGGGTCTGGGCCCTGCCTGCCTAGTCCACCTGCCTGGCCTCCAGGGCACTGAGGAGCAGGGTGAACTCCAGAAGCTACATACTAGGCGCCAAACTGGGCCAAGCATCCCCTACAACCTGGAGAGTGTGGTCCTCTGCTCAGTGATGAGGAAGCAAGCCCAGTGAGGCCAAGTGACTGGTCCCAAGTCACACAGCTAGTGAGGGACAGAGCCACACCCTGAACCCAGACCACCCTGATTTCAGAGCCCACGTTGTTAAGCTCTGGGCTGCTCTGCATCTCTTAGACCAGCTGGTCTTTGGTGTTGGTGGGAAGGTCGGCAGCCTACATTTACTAAGCATCTACTGTATACCAGCTACTTTCCCCTCATAATCCTCAGGGGGGCAAGAACCCAGCTTCCTTCCAGGACTTCAGAGCAGGGCCCGACTCGGACAGTACTCCAGGGCAGCCCAGGATATGGCGGGGGACTCCCAAAGCTCACCAAGCTCTCTCCTTCCTGGGCCAGCAGGATGGGCACCTTCCTGTAGGACGAGAACTTGATCTCGGCCCTGCGCACAGGGTTCACCTCCACCACCTGGTAGGGCAGGGCGTGGAAGTCGAGGAAGGCACGGACCTTGCTGCAGAAGGGACACGTTTTGTACTGGTACAGAGTCAGCTGCAGGCGGTCGGAGAGGGAGAGCTGGGTGGGGAGCAGAGAGAGGGAGGCTTCTGAGGCCTATTCCCCAGGCCTGCCCCCAAACCCAGGCCCTGCCCCCAGCAATCTTGTTTCCCAGGGTAGTCTTCCAAGATGTCCCTGAGAACATTGGGAGGAATGGTGGGGGAGGGAGGCAGAGAAAGTGGGTTCTGGGAGGTGGAGAGCAGGCTCCAGAGTGCTGCCCAGGCAGGGAGTCTAGTCTGTGTAGAAGGAGTCTTCTGGGCTCTGTCCTACACTGGAAAGACACCTGTCCTCGGCCTCTTGTCTCAAGAGGACACCAGACACTTGCAGATGTGCCCTCCCAGAAGCAGAGCAATTGTTTCAACTTAGAGTGCACATCCCCACTCCCACCCCCAGGGACCTCTGAGTGAGGGGGCAGAGCTGGGGTACAACCCAGCCAGTAGCTCAGCGACGGCCAGAGTGGGGTCTACCTCAAATCTCCAAGGGGGAGTGTTGTATCAGGGCCTTGGGCCTGGATCCAGGATCCTGCACGTTCAACAGTAAAGCCCCAGGTGAGCTTGCTACATACTCATGTTTGAAAGTCACAGCTGCAGTCACTGCCCTCAGTGTTCAGGTGGGAAACTGAGGCTGGAGTCATGGAAGTGAGCAGGGAGATACACAGACCCCTCCTCCTCTCCCATCCACCCCTGTTACCCCGGGGCCAGGAAAAAGCACCTGTGGGTGGACGGTGGGGACCACAGCAGAGAAAGACTGAGCTGGTGCTGTGTACAAAGCATTGCAGGGGCAGCTGGGCCACCACTGGCGGGGAACATGCTCATGTCCCTCCCTGTCTCAGGACCTGGAGTCGGTGCCATTAAAATGCTAATAATACAAATGCATACATAACCTTAGGATTTGGGGACGACTGTCGAGGGGGGCGACAAAATGTTTGGAATTGGATAAACCGAAAAAGGTTTTCTTTCCCTTTTCCGAGATCTCAAAACATTCCCATTAAAAAGTCTTTCAACAAGTTAGAAACACGACTTTAAGGCAAAGACAGTAATTCTAGTGAGCGGGCATCTGTCGCGGCCCCGTTTCACAGATGAGGACGCTGTGGCCTGGGAGACGAAACCAAGTCACTCGCCCAAGGTCACGAGCGACCAGCGGAGGCGATTCCCGACCGCGCCGCCCCCCAGAACCCCGCGGTCCCGCGCTGACCCCAGCGGCCCTCCCGCGCGCAGCTCGGTCCAGCCCGGGCCCACCTGCGTGGCTGAGCGCTCGGCACGGAGATCCTGGGCGCGCAGGTGCCACCGCGCGGTGTAGTACAGCCCCACGGCGCCCCCCAGGGCCAGAGCCGCCGTCCCCAGGAGCCGCCGGCTCCCCTTGCGGGCGAGGGCTGCAGGGCCTGGGCCTCCGGCCGCCCCAGCGAAGCCAGCCCGGCTCTGCACCGGGAGTCGGGACGCCGGGCTACCGCCCAGCCTCCAGGCCAGAGCGCGCCCGCCGGGCCACAGCGCCCGTGCAGCCTGGGCCATGTTCACTCTGCCGGCGCCGCGGGCGGGCGCGCGAAACCAAGACCTCGGGGCTGAGGCTTCCCTTAAAGGGCCGGGTCTCCGGCGCCAGGCAGGTTGCCGGGGTGACGGTGACGCCGAGCGAGGCGGGGCAGCGCTCGCAAGGTGGGGCGTGCGTGCCCGGCGCCCGCCTTTCATCCCCTCCGCAGGGCCGCAGAAACACGGTGGATGTCCGGGAGTCGGCAAATGTCCGGGTCCTGAGTACGCAGCTGTAACGGGTCTCGGTGGGGACCCGGTCCCGATGCAGAGAATACCCGGGCGCTTGCCCAGGCTCGGCCACGTGGTTCCCGGTGTGGCCTCAGCCCTAGCGTCGCCCGTTCTATGTAGTTAGTAATTTCTGCCTCATGCACCCAGTCGGAGAGACGGAACCCTTCGGAGTGTCGGGGTCACGGCTTCGGGTACTGGAGGGCGCGGAGACAGCCATAGCGGACTAACAGTAGGGGGGCGCCAGAAACTCGGGCTCTTCCTGGCCTCCCGCACGGCTGCACCATTTCTCCTGAGGCCTGAACCATAAAAACCTCCCTACATGTTGGGGACCTTAAGAAATCGCGTGTCTAAGATTTCGCCCACGCGGAGGCGCTGGCTCTCCCACCCGCACGTTCCCAGAGGCTGGAGGGGGCGAACGGGGGTCCCAGTCTGCCCCGACCCTCCGCCCGGCTGGCTCGCTCTGGCTGGGGGCCCGGTCCGCCGCCACCCAGGCTTCTCCGCGGGCAGCCCCAGGGGGGTCCCGCCCGGCGGCCAGGAGAGGGGCGGGGCTCGGAGCTGGCGAAGGTCTGACGGCGAGACAGGTAGTGGGTCAGAGGGGTGGAGCCTGGTGGCGGGGCGGGCACGGAGCGCTGCTCGCTGGGGAGGTGCGAGCCGGGCTGCGGCAGGTGCAGGGCTCTGGACCGGCCGGGGCTCGGCCTGGGGGGCGGAGTCTGGTGCAGGCGGGGGTGGAGTGATGGCGAGGGCGGGGCTCGGGCCTGAAAGTTCAGGCCTTGGGGCGGAGCCCTGCGGCTCTCGGCCGCCTGACACGGCGAGGTTCCACCCGGAGCCCACGGTGCGTGCGAGGGTCGCCGCGGCCCGTCATCACGCTGTCCTTGCAGAGCCCGACCCGCAATGTCGGGCCCCAACGGGGACCTGGGCGTGCCGGGAGAGGCGGGCGCAAAAGGCAAGGACGACGGCTTCGCGGAAGCAGTGACTCGGGGGAGTCCTGAAACGACCTTTGCTTTCTCAGGGGCCCCTTAATGGGACGGGGAGTCGAGGCTGGGACTGGGGTTTGGGTGGGACCGCGGAGCCCTCCCACCCCTGGCCCCTGGGGGAGTTGCAGCTGCAGGCACCTTCTCGAGGGTCAGGGCGAGCACCTGCGAGCGGGTCCCTGGAAACCGCAGCATTCGAGAACTGTGGGCAGCCGGCCCCGTTTTACAAACGAGGAAACTGAGGCCGCTTCAGGGACACTGGCACTTTTGGATTTGCCCCAGCCACGTCGTTCAGTCCCTGTGGGGACGGGGGCTCCTGAGGAGGCGGGGCCTGTGGACCTCCTAGGCTCAGCAGAAGGGCTGTTTGGGTGGGCAGGCCCACCCTTGCTGAGTCGGTTCAGCATCCCCAGCCACCTTTTCTGATGTGGCCTGGAGCCCGGGCGAAGGTGACTTGCTTGCAAAGCAGCATGTTGCGTGCACAGCACTGCGAGGGTGGAGGTAAGGGTCTAGGGGTGGAGTATGAAGAGAGAACCATCAGCTCTCTGTTCATCTTCTCCAGCCTGTTTCCCCTTTTGTAAAATAAAAATAATTATTAGTGTCTTCTAAACTGAGATGTGTCAGGATTAAATGGGGAAATTAATGGGGAGAGTCTGGAGGCTAGTGAGGTCCTTGCCTTAGAGGCCCCTATTTTCTGCCTACCGGGCAGCTGCTCCAGCTTTGTCCAATATAGGAAGGAATCCCAGTGACCAGCCCCTCCACCAAAAATGGCAAAGTTCTCCCTTCGTCCTCCTTGCCAAGATTGGGCAGGACATTAGGGCAGGCCCATGCCTCTTGGCTTGCCATGCACTGCTCACTGCCCTACACTGCCTCTTTCTTAATGCATTCCAGCCAGAGGCCTCCTGTCTGTGGACCGGCATTGAGCACAGCCCTGCTTGATGCCCAGGGTTACCTCAGGGCTGAGGAACCAGCTGTGGCTGAGCAAATCCAGGGATGGCGATGCTCTTCCCTGTTTCTGTGGCATGTCAGGGGACAGGTGGCTCAGGTCCGGGGTTCTCACACAGGTATAACCCAGATCTGGCCAACCCATAATTCTGTTCCAGGCTAGGACTTCTGTAACCTGCCCCCAGTATCTGATCCTGGTGGCCAGTTTCCTCCAGGATCCATGCCCTTCTGTGGCTATGTGACGCTCTTCCCCCTACCTGGCCTCTCCTTATTTTTCTTACCTCTGTTAAGAAACAAAACTCACCCGGGCTGGTTTGGCTCAGCGTGAGAGCGTCCACCGGCAGACCAGAGAGTCTCAGGTTCGGTTCCCACTAAGGGCACGTACCTCGGTTTTGGTTTGTCCCGGCCCTGGTTGGGGTTGTGCGGGTGGCAACCAGTCTATGTGTCTCTCTCACAATGATGTTTCTCTCTCTCTCTCTCTCCCTCCCTCTCTCCCTCCTGCTCTACCTCAAGATAAATGCAGAAATGTCCTCGGGTGAGGATTAAAAAAACAAAACAAAACTCAACTGAATACATTCAAAGATCAGATTGATTTTAATCAGTGATTCATGAATTAGGTAACATCCTATCTAGCAAGTACAAAATGGCAGCCTTTTCTAGGCAGAAGGGGGCAGGGACAAAAAAAGAGTATATTACCTCATTATGGACCAGGAAATTGCAGACTGACCCAGTTAAGATTACATTCCTGGGAAAGGTTGAAATTGTAATTAGGTTAGGTATTAGATCTTAGTTTGGTGGTGTGGGCTTAGCACAAATGACTCCATTTTGGGCCTGTTGTCTCTTTTTTTTTTAAATGATTTTTTTAGAGAGAGAGGAAGGGAGAGATAGAAACATCAATGTGAGAAACATCTATCAGCTGCTTCCTGCACGCCCCCTACTGGGGATGGAGCCCAAAACCAGGCATGTGTCCCAGCCTGGAATCAGACCTGGACTTCTCAGTCCATTGAGCCACACCAGCTGGGCTGTTGTCTCTTTTTTAACTGACCCCTCTGGACATGCTTCCCTGTCTTGATCCTCTCTTCTGCAGCCCTGCCTCTTAAGAATGGGGTTCCCCAGGGTTCAGTCCTGGCCCTTGTAGGCCACGTGCACATGGCCTCGCAACCTTTTCCCTCCCCTAATTCCTGTTACCATCTTTGCCATGAATGCCCAGCCTGTGGCTTCAGGTCAGCCCTATCCTGACTCCAGGCCTCAGACAGTGGGATGTCCCCCAGAAACCCCACTTCAATTCTGGCACAGCCATCTAACTGGCTGTCTTTCCCACCTAACCAGTTTCTCCTCTTTGGCTCTTGCCTTCGTCGGCAAGGGAGAACCCAGGAGTCCACCAGCCTCTTCACCCCCCACAACTGCGCAGCCTGCACTTTGCCACTTCTCCTGACCCTACTGATTACCCCTCTCTAACACCCCCAGGGGGTTCTACCCAAGTGTCCCACTGCCCCTTCATGTCGTTCAGAACCTACTAAGAGATAAATCTCAAAATAATTAGGCTGAATGAAAGAGGCCAGAAAATAAAGATTTGCTTCTATGTATATAAAACGAGAAAATGCAAACATATGGTGACAGAAAACAGACTGGTGGCTGCCTGGGGGTGCACGGTGGAGAGGAAAGGAGGGAAGGAGATGCAGAATCTTTGGGGTGATGAATATGTTCACTATCTTGATTGTGGTCATGGTTTCACAGGCATTTATATATATCAAACCTTGTCAAATTGCTCAAAACCCACAATAAAATGGGTATGTCAAAAGGACCCAGGATTAAAAAAAAAAAAATGCCCTGGCCGGTTTGGCTCAGCGGTTAGAGCGTAAGCCTGCAGTCCAGAGAGACCCGGGTTCAGTTCCCGCTAAGGGCATGCACCTCGGCTGCAGTTTGTCCCCGGCCCTGGTTGGGTTGTGAGGGTGGCAACCACTCGATGTGTCCCTTTCATGTTGATGTTTCTCTCTCTCTCTCTCTCTCCCACTCTATCTGAACAAAATATATATAAAAACAAAGGACCCAGGATTATAACTCAAGTATAAAATGAGTACCAGTGAACCCATGCTGATACAAATATGTCATTGAATTAATAAATGAGCAGGGAGAAGAGAAATCTCCCATGCAGAAGAATTCGAAATTATGTAGGCACTCCGCCCTCTAGGAGATGAAGCAAAACTCCCACTCCGTACATAGGTCTGGGCTGTGCAAAGTGACTTCCTTCCCAAGAAGACAGTGTGCAAAGGGGAAGAAGAGTAACCTCACAGTGGAGTCACCTGACAACACACCTCAGCCAGGTGATCAAGGTCAACATTAACAGTGATCAGTCATGTGGGTAGCATGTGCCTTTGGTATGATGTGGTGAAAATGGTACTTTACCTCCTGGTTTTTCTTCTGAAACCCCTAACCCCAGTCTAATGGTGAGAAAAACATCCGACAACTCCCAATAGATGGATATTCTACAAAACATCTGAGCAGCACTCCTCAAGACTGTCAAGGTCATCAAAACCTTGGTCATCAAAACCAAGGAAAGTCTGCCCTGGCCGGTTTGGCTCAGCAGTTAGAGCGTCAGCCTGCGGTCCTGAGAGACCCGGGTTCGGTTCCCGCTAAGGGCACGTACCTCAGTTGCAGTTTGTCCCCGGCCCTGGTCGGTTGTGCGGGTGGCAGCCACTCGATGTGTCCCTTTCACATCGATGTTTCTCTCTCTCTCTCTGTTCCTCTCTCTCCCTCCCACTCTACCTGAGCAAAAAATGGAAAAATGTCCTCGGGTGAGGATAAAAAAAAAAAAAAAAAAAAAAACCAAGGAAAGTCTGAGCAACTGTC